TTTTCTAAACTGACACATGTTGCTACTTTCATCCAGCTTTGTTTTTGTTCTATCAAAAGAAGCCTTTAAAATTTGACTGTCTGAGAGGAATTTAGTGTGTCAGAAATAAAAACATGGTGGGACCCGAAAAGATGCTTTCCCAGAGTTATTTAAAAGAAAACATACTATTTTAATAAATTGAATCAGACTTCTAAGTAAATTCTACCTAAGAAATCAAGCGCCAGGTGTAGTGTCGCAGGAGACTGTGGCTGTCATCCAGTGTTATATGAGAGCAGACCAGGAAGGAAGATCTGTGGTGGGATTCATACCGTGCTCCTCAGTAGCTCTTTCCCATTACTTTTTGCTTGGCATTGTAATAACCCTGTCTGATCTTTATATTGCTATATGACAAGCAGTTTATGTTCACTTTTTATCATTATGAAAAAAATGCCTGAGAAAATATTTACTTTGGTTAAGAGTTTCAGAGAATTCATTCCAGCGTTCTGGCTCCATTCCTATAGACCTCATGACAGGGAGCATAGGTACAGTGGAGCTGCTCTTATTCATGATGGCTAAGAAAGAGCGAGAGTAGAAGGGGGGCAAGGACAGGCTGACAGAACACAGGAAGAGCCAAATGCACTACTCAAAGGGATGGACCGCTTCCCTACAATAGGCCTACCTCCTAAGTTTCCACTACTTCCAGTAGTGCTACCAGCTGGTACCAAGCCTTCAACCTGTGAGGAGGGGAGCACCATTCCAGGTTCAAATCATGACACTGTCTTACATTCTTACATGCCTAAATTCTTATTTGTTTGAAGAATTTAGTGATATGTCTAGAGAGAAAATTGGGAACATAGGTATCTATCAGAGTAGTTGGCATGATAGTGAAGTACTAGGTATCTAGGTATCCTAGGCCAATAAGTATCCAGGTATTGTGTAAATGAGGGTGGTTTGGATGAGACCAGCATCTCTCCTCTCCTCTCCTCTCCTCTCCTCTCCTCTCCTCTCCTCTCCTCTCCTCTCCTCTCCTCTCCTCTCCTCTCCTCTCCTCTTCTCTCTCCCTCTCTCTCTCTCCTGGGGGCAGGGTTTTAATCTATATCTCTGTGCATGCTGAGCAACTGTCATTGAGCTGTATCCACATCCTCAGTATTTAAATGTGTGTACTTGAGTAAAGCTGTTTGTGTTCTCCACATTATCTATGTGCTGCATCAAAAAGCCTGGTTTGAAGAAAGATGTCTACTTTTCCCAGAAAGAGAGAATGGTTCAGTTGACTGTCTTTGGACTTTATCAACACTGTTAGTTCCTTTATTTTAATTAATTGATTGATTATGTAATATGTGTATTTGTGGGCACGTGCAAATTTGTTTTTGTTTGTTGGTTCTAACACATCATCTGCATTGTCAGCTCTCCTAGTTTCTCTGCTGACCTTCAAGTAATAACTATGTCATTAATTCTTTAGGTCTCAAGCCCAACAATTTGCACTGCAGATTTGGACATAATTTCTATAATCATGGGTTTCAACTCTTTACAATAAACTATCTATTCATTTGTCCTTTGGGGTCTGTTTTTCTGAGTGACCCTAACTAATTGCAGTGGGTAGCATTAATCTCATAATCCTTTTCTTGGTCATTTGTAAAAGATGCTGCTTGATAAGAAATGATTATTCAGCCCTGCAGTTATTACCAGCAGGGCAGGTCTCCACATCTCCTCTTTGAAATACAGCTCAGTATTCAAGCAGTATGAATCCAAATTGAAGGCTTCCTCCTTCTGCTTTAAAAAACTGTTTCTTTAGTTTATGTGTAAATATGTATACAGAGGCCAGAACTGGAGTTGAAGAAGGCTGTGAGCCATAATGTGGGTGATGGAATTGGGACTGGTCCTCTGCAAGAACAGCAAGTGCTTTTTTTTGCTGAGCAGTCTCTCCAGTCCATCCTCCTTCCTCTTTTATGCATACATGGAGGTGGAATCAGTTAACTTGAATCCCAAAAGGAATGTAGAAAGGGCACTTAATACATCAACGCTTACTTGATAACATTTAATTGAAAGGAATTAGCAAGGTCAAGGAGAGGAATTTTTTCCTTTTTTCTCTTCCTTTTTCCTCTTTTCTCTCATCCCTTCTTTTGCCTTTTTCCCCTTCTCTTTCTTTTGTCTTTTTAAGCTCCAGTGAGCAGGTAGCAAGCAACCTTTCCTACCATCTGCCACTTTGAGGTAAAAATGCTGAGATGCCCACGTACGGGGTGAGTTTTCAAAGCTCAGGGCACAGGGAACACTTTGACTCTACTGGGATGATCACTAATACTATTGGTGTCCCTTTTCTGACTCAGGAGCTCATTCTGATTTAATTCTTACAGTTCTGGAGTTGTCCTTGCAGAACTTTTGGTGGTTTAGAAGTATTTCTGGGAAGTAGTGTGATTAAAACAGGGCTTAGGACTTGGCCCAAACTTGAGCCAAGAAAGTTCTAATTCAATCACTTTGTGTTATTCTTAATAAAGTTATTCTTAAATACTAATAAGTGAAATGT